GTTTATTCGTTCAGTCGCTTCCGACTCTTTATAACCTCATGGACCAGCCCACGCCAGAGCTCCCTGTTGGCTGTGGCCACCCACAGCTCCTTCAGAGTCAATCCAGTCACATCAAGATACCATCCATCTTGCCCTTGGTCGGCCCCTCTTCCTTTTTCCTTCCATTTCCCCCGCTCACTGTCACTATGTTTGGTTTACTGCTTTTTTTAGATGTTTTGCATATTTTGTTTATTGTATATGTTGTTTATTTTATTGTAATTTGCATTTTATTTTATTGTAATTTGTTGTTTGGGATTGGCCTTATGTAAGCTGCCCATTGGGGAAGATGGTGGCGGGGTATAAACAGGGCCGTAGCCAGAAATTTTTTTTGGGAGGGCTTTAAATTTTCGGGGGGGGGGGGGGGTTTGAAAATTTCGGGCTGGGGGTGTTGAAGCCTGCCTCCTAGCTCACGCTGAAGCAAAGAGCACAGCAAAGGGCAGAGCAGCCTTCAATAGCCTGCAGCTCCGCCCCTGTCAACCACCTCCACCAAGTCTGGCCTCCTTAATGAGAGCATTCAACACACACACCCAACAATGACAATAATAATAATAATAATAATAATAATAATAATAATAATAATAATAATAATCCTTTATTTGTACCCCGCTACCATCTCCCGAAGGACTCGGTGCGGCTTACAAGAGGCCGAGCCCAAATACAACAGTAAAACAACAACAACAATACAGCAAAATAACTCAAAAACAAGGCAATAACATTAACAACACACCATGACGCAATTAAAATCTGTGGCAGGGCCAAATGTAATAATTAAAATTAAAAAGTGCTGGGCATGACCAGGTGAAAAGGGTAGGTGTTTGGAGGGGGGGGCATGCAGTTATCCTGGCTGGGGCTTGCCTGATGTCCTTAGGGAGAGAGTTCCAGAGTCGAGGGGCCACCACCGAGAAAGCCCTCTCCCTCGTCCAATTGCACTTGCGATGCAGGTGGGATCATGAGTAGGGCCTCTCCAGATGAACGAAGAGATTGTGTGGGTTCGTACACAGAGATACGGTCACGCAGGTAGCCGGGTCCCAAACAGTGTGAATAAATTGTCAATAATTTGCCTGAGATGCAGTTCTTGCATCTTATAGACTTAGCATGGGGATTTGGTTAACCAGTTAAAATTCATGAGTAAACCAGGTTTTTTAAAAAAAACTGAAAAATTTGGGGGGGGGATTTGAATCCCTACCCCCC